CAGGCAGGATGGGGAAGGGACCGAGGCCATGGACTCGCTGGGCATAATGTTGAAAGTCACGTGTTTTACATGCCGCAGCATGGCACAGGAACTTGCCATCTGAACTGCAGCACCCAGCATCCCCAGCCCTCAGCAAAGATGGACTTCGTAGCGCAGCATGTTTTCAGGGTGGCAGACCAGGGAAGGTTTCTCTGGAAGTGATGTTCAGAGTGGGACAGCTGATGTCCAGTGACTGGTTAGTCACCCTTCAAAAGGGACATTTTACACATGTTAATAGCCGTGCGCAAGTGGATATTTTGAAATCATTGCTATAATTTTATTAGAACTGCAGCAGCTCTTGGCCAGAAAGCCCAGATGTTGAACGGGGCTTGCTGGGATGTGGTCCACCCAAAGGGGTTGGGTGGTGGGGGGGGGGGGAACACCCGCTGTGGCTTTTCGTCTGCCAGGGTTGCTTCACGTAGCCAGAACTTCCCTTGCTGTTGTGCCCACATCCATGGGTGCCGCTTCCCCTGGCATGGGAATCTGTGTGGGGGGGTTTCACCTGCTGAATTTGCCAGCCATGGCAGGTGCAGGAGCCATGCAAAAATCAAGGCAGCCCCATTTAGATGTTCTCTTACAGGGCCTGATATCAGGTGGAACAGGTGAAGTATTTCAAAAAATAATTGCAAGGACTTGGAGGGCGCCAAGTGGGCAGCCGGTGCCTCTGCCTGGGGAATCCTGGGAGGCTTGGCTGGAATAACGCCTGCAAAGATTCGAGCAGTGCTGGATGGTCTCTGAGCAGAGCTGCAGTGACGCGAAACGGTCCCATGGCTCAGCAAGGAGCAGTCTGTTTAGCCCCAGGACAGGGCGACCCAAACGCCGTCCCGGCCCAAAGAGGAATGCGAGGCGCTTCCTGGCGGTCCAGGGGCTCCTCTTGCTCAGTGAGGTGCGGGGACCCTCTGGGCTTTTCCTCCCAGAGCCACAAAACAGCAGCAGTGCTGGGAAGCACAGAACGGCCACACAAAGGCCCAGGCCGCCTCTAGCACAGAGAGTGCCGCAAATGCCAAAGATGCAAAGGTCGATTCTCACTCCCCTGGCCCTAATGTAATCTCACTCATTAGGTGGGCCCTAGCTTACACTCTGTTGTGGGGAGCTGGCAGAGGACAGACCTCTATTTGATGGACCACCCAGCCAAAGCCAGCTTTACTGTAAAAGGACCTGGAGGAGGAAAGGCTACAGGAAGCGCTCTTGAAGCTCCCCAGCCTCACGGTGACTCGCTTGCAGCACCCGGCCTGCTGCCTCGTCGTGTGGAAGGTCACCTTGCAAGGCGTGGAATGTCCTGCAAGCGCCGATACTTATGCAATCCCTGTAAAGCCACAAGATGCGCCAGGCTTCCGCATCGCGCCGCCTGAGCCACCTCCCTGGAAAATTCAGAGGAGGTATTTTAGGGTGGGTCTGTGCATTTATTCAGATCTAAACATGAAATGGGAAGAAATTAATGGTGCAATTCTATACCTGTCCAGGCAGAAAAATGTCCCCCGCTTCTCAGCCTGTCCCTACCTGCAGTTTGCTGTCTGAAATGACACAACACACAAGGAGAAGCAAATGGGGATGAAAGAGGTGCTGGCATGTTTCATCCCACTCTTCCTGTGCCAGGGGAGCACCATCCAAGCCCCCGAGGGCTTAACTGCACCCCCGCAGGATGCTCTGGCCACCCAGCTTGTAAGCCACAGGGGTTTGTTGTGTTGTGTGAACCCAGTCTCAGTCTTGGCAAATGCTGATAAAGCTAGTGACACTGCCAGGGACCGAGATCCAGTGCCCCAGAGTGCTCCCCCCACCCCCAGCAGCAGATCGTGTGTTGGGGCAGCAAATGCCATCCTATTCTTCTGGTCAGGATGATGCCGTGGCCTCGCTGAGCTTGAAGGCATTGCGCTGTGCATGCTTAGGCAGAGAAAGGCCCACAGCTCCTTGCGCCTGTCTAAACAAGCTCCGGACTGCTCCCTGAAGCGCAAACCTGTGCACGGTCAGAGCCTTTAAAGAAACCGGAGCTGGCAAACCCTCGAGCATCTTGCGCCTCAGTGTCAGTTTGCACGTCAGGAATGTGGCGGTGCTTGTAGAGGGAGCTGGATGGCAGTTGGAGGGGCGTGTGTGTGGGGGGAACAGGAATGATGGGGGGTTTCACCCTGGTGATGGGTGTTACAGCTGCCTGCCAGGGCCCCTGTAAGGCCGTTACACCTGGGTCCTTTGGGTAGGGGGCTTTTGGGCAGCATCAGGGCCCTTTGACCCGGCTGCCCACAGCTCTTCCCGGTGAGTTGCCTTCCCTGTGCAGGGCCAGAAATGGGCGCTGCTGCATCAGCACAAGGCTAAATTTGGGGCCGGGCTGGAAGCACCCCCCAAGTGCCAAAGTCGTGCCCTGTGCAGGTTTTGCAGGTGTGCAGCCAGGAGCCAGCGAGGCAGGTGCCGTTTGGCTTCTCTCTTTCCCCCACCCCATCACCAAACTCGCCTCTCCTCCCCCTTCAATCCCTCTTGTACTTTTGCATTGAAAGGGGTTATTAACTTCCTTAATGAGTCTGGATAAGCACGTGAAATTTCATGCAGGCCTGTATTTTAAAGGTTAGCAGCCCACCTGAGAGAAGGGTCAGAGGTGGCAGGTGGCTGCAGCAACATCCCCTCCCAGCCCCTTTCTGGCAGGGCAGGTTGTGAAGCTGGGTGAGGGTGCACAGCTAGTTTCCAGGTCTCCCCCTCCTAGGGAGGCTGGGGATGCTGATGCCCGGGCCGGGTGGGGGCGCGCGACGTCCATTCAGGAGCCGATTCCAAGCATTAAGGGAGCTGTCCAGGGTCCTGAACCGGGGGCTTGTGGAGGGAGAGCTCAGCACCATCAACAGCTCCTCTAACGCAAGTGAGGGGGGCAATCCTGCGTCGCTCCACAATCAGCCGCGCTGGCAGGATCGCCATCCAAGGCCCCAGTGGCAGGGTGGCCACGGAGGCAGCGCAGATCAGGTGGTGGCCACCGGTGGCCGAATTCCGCCCCCTTCCACAAAACGTGGAGGAAGCAAGGACAGGCTGGATCCCGCTTCAGAGCCGCTCAGGCGGGGGCAGCCCAGCAGAAAGCGGGCCAAGCGCAAAAGGGGCGGGGCCAAAGTGCCGCTGTCTTTCAGCTCAAAGCGCCTGGCCTCTGGAGTGGCATCTCAGCATCCCTGTGTTATGCACGGCCAGGTGTTGTGACCCCACCCCCGAGTGCCCTCCGCATGGACCTGCCCTTGGCAGCCCGCCCAGCTGGGCTCTCGTCAGCTGCGGCTGGGCTTCCTGGGTGGACTCGCCCCACCTGAGACTCGGTCTCCCTTCTGTTCTGCCTGCGGGTGCTCGATCAGGGTGGCCTTCTCCAGGGGCCCTGCTTCTTAGGGGGTGCTCAAATTGCGACGCCTTCAACTTTCTTCTTTGTTCCCCCAAGGCAGCAACCCCCAAGGGGTTGGTCCCTGGGCTCTCGACAAGGAGCAATATAACCCAGAGAAGGGGCCCAGGGGAAGTCTAGATGGGCCAGATGTAGCCCTGGAATGTGGGAATAAAATGCACCTGCATCTTTCTCTGCTCGACGAAAAGCGGCTGGGAAGGGTGATGCAGAATGGGGCGATGCCCCAAGTGCACCGAGGGGCACCTTTCTCCCGCCTCCACTGACAAGGCTCCCCTGCAGAGGCTGCCTTTAGACCTGAAAGGGCGCGATCTGTCTGTGGCCTCCCTGCGGAAGCAGCACCAGGCTGCGGCGGTCCATTTGGGACAGGACTGCAGGTTCGGCAGGTCCGTGCAGAGAATGAGCGGGTTTTTCCCCAGCTGGGAGAAGGCTAAGCTTGGCCTTCTCTCCATGATAGGCTAGTTTTCTACATGAAGGGAATGGATTGCTCTGTTTTGTGTGGAGAAACCTCTGAGTCGATATGCCCGTTTGCTCCTTGCTGACCCCCCCACCCCGGCCTGAAGAGGTGCTACCCAGCAATAGGTTTCATGTTATTCACTGGCCATGCTGATAGCTCACCTTTCTTCCGACAAGATGGTTTTCGTTGCCCTTTCCATTTTGTCCTCGCAACAAGCCTGTGGGGCACGTTGGGATGAGGGGCCGTGGCTGCCCCAGAGTCGCCCACTGAGCTCCGTGGCTGCGTGCAGACCGGGAGTCTGCTCCAGGCACTGCCTGCACTGGCTTTTCTAACCTTGGTGAGGACTTTGGCCTTGACGGAGGAGAAACGTGAGTACAGACTAGGCGGGGAAGGCTGCGAAACACACGGGACGTTTCTCTGCATCAGCACTCGGAGATCATTGCTGGCTAGAGCATCCGGATGGGGAGGGACGCCTTCCAGACTTTGCAGAAGGTTCTCGCAAGGCCGAAGTGGGCCCACGTGGTTGATGCTCCCCTTGCATGTCACCACTCGGGCACCGGAGAGGATCCTCGCCCACCCACGGAGTGAGTGGGCGTGGGGACCCTGCCCGCTCCCTTCCCCGCCCAAATGTTTTCTCCCGCATGCTGGCAGGGAGACATCCGGGCTGTGAACCAGCCAGGCGTGGAGCATTTGGAGCAGCGGCGACTCTGTGGTGCCGTTGGGGCTCGGCTCTGGGACCAAGGTCCCCCTGGGAGCAGCCAGGGATGGCCAGCAGAAGCAAGCCCTGCTTGGTCTGAGGTCACGAGGATGCGTTGGTTTAAGGGAGTCTAAAATGCAAGACTGAGAGCGTTCAGCGTTGGTTTGCTTCTTTAAAGCAGGGCTCACAAACACAGCGTGGCAGCTGGGGGGAAGTCACCCTTCCCCACCGAACCCCCCACGGGGCCGTCAAAATGAGGCCCGCAGGCCCCGCCTCAGCCCTGCCACGCCTTCCCGCTCCTGTTCGTGGCCTGGTGCATGCTGTCCCCCGAGCGGCCCTTCCTGTGGACAGGGGAAGCCCCCCCCCCAGGCAGGCGCCCATGTGACCCCGGCGCTGCCATGTGACCTGCGTGGGGCGGAGCATCTGCCACTCCGTGATGGGCCTCTGCTTCTCCTCAGCATCACTGTGATCACCTGGAACGTCGGCACAGCCATGCCCCCCAGTGACGTGACGTCCCTCCTGCATCTCAACACGGGGGAGTCCAGCGACACAGACCTCATCGTAATTGGGTAAGCGGAAGGGCTGGCGGGGCCCCTCGCGTGGGGCCTGGAGCGGGGGCCCCTGTCTGGTGCAGCCGCCTGAGGCTGCTTGGCAGCCTCCGAGGAGGGGATTCCCAAAGGTGAACCGGAAGCACGTGTGGCCGCCCTGCACAGGGCAGGGGGAAGGCATGCTCAGGAACACTCACCACCCGTCGTTTGGAGGTTGCAGGGAGTGTGGCCCCCCAGCCCAGCCAGGAGTCTCCTCCTCACCCTGAGGGAGGGGCTCAGGAGGGGCTGGGATGCCAGGGCCAGGGCTCAGGGTTTGTCTTCAGGCCCTAGAAGCCTCAAGACCGGCTTGCACCCGGAGCTGAGGTGCCATCCCCACTGTAGCCAGAACAGGGTGGGGTGGAAGCAGATGGTATTTTGCTGTGTGCTGTCCTTGTAGTGCGAAGGGTTTGGGGTGGCTCCCTCTTGGCCAGTTAAGACCCACTGACTTTATGGAAGACCTGTAAAAGCTACACAGAAGATGGATGGATGGATGGATGGATGGATGGATGGATGGATGGAGACAACTTCCTAGATTTTTGGACTCTCCCTGGAGGCGTGGCTATGGAGATTGCCATGTCAGGTGCCTGCATTTCAAAATGTTCCTCTGCCCCACTGCCGTGTACTGCTGGGGATGAAGAAGCATCAACACAGGAGCAGAGCTACCAAGAAACCGCTCGCATGCAGCTGTAGTCTCTCCTCTCCTCATGAGCCAGAAGAGGCCACGAGGACAAGGGAGGCCAAAGCTCAGCAAAGCCCTCTCTGAGCTGGTTGCTCGCTGGGCTGAAAAGGCCACTGTGCTGCTCATGAGCTCAGCAGCACCTCCTCCTCCTCATTCTCCCCTGTGGTTTAGGAGCTCACAGCCCCTTACTCGGCAAAATGCTCTCCGTTCTTCGCCTGACGGGCAGCAGTGGCAAGCCCCGGGGGCTGCTGGCCGAGGTCTCACTTGGCAGGCCCCTTGCTGCAGTGAGCAGAACTGTGGTGTGGAGGAGAGAGCTGCGCTCCGCTCTTGGGGCTCCTGGGGTGGAGCCGGGGCACATGCGTGACAAGGCCAAGAAAGAGAGGGCTGGAGCAGCAAACGGACAGCCCCGTGCAGCCCACGTTCCTGTCTGGTTGGAGAGGTTTGCCAAGGTTTGTGGGGGGGGGGGGGAGCATTTCAAAAAAAGACTCCCGTCTCCTTGAAAGGGCTGGAAGGATCGAGGTCTCTTTCATTATGTGAACAGAAGAGGTTTCCTTCTTGATCAGAGATCGCATTTCCGCAGCAGCACAGAAGGAAGGGATCGGCAAAAGGGATATGGCGGAAGCAGCTCGGTGCTTCCAAGAGACGTGTCGGCATCACACGTAGACCGGCTGCGGCAAAGCTTGAGGGCGCTGCCCAGCCTGAACGCTGGCTTCTGGCCTCCTACCCTGGAACCAAGAAATACGTGATGGGGCATTTCCCTCCGCCTTGATGCCTCCAAAGCAGCCTCTGAGCATATGCTGAGCGACCGTGCTTCACCCATGCACCACTGCATCTGTGGGGGTGGGGACGCTGGCCCCAGGGTTCAGGGGAAGCTCCGGGGGGGGGGGGCAACGGGCAGCACTGGCGTGAGGGAGACGGGCTTCATGGGCCAGGGCTCATCTCTTGCCCGTGTGAGGAGCCAAGGCAGTGGAGCTGTGCCGGTTGCCCTGGCACTGGCGGCCAGCCCCAGCCACAAGCGCCGTCTCCCAGCCCCGCTCCGGCTCGGCCGGTGCAAGCTGCCCTGGGCGGCGCGGGGGCGCCAGGCTCACGGCCTGGGAGGGTCTTCGCCTCTTGGCCAGGCCCCTTCTGCAGCTGCCCACCGGTGGGCCAGGGTGTTAGTGGTCCGTTGGCCTCTTCCTGTGGGGGACCGGTTGCCTTGCCCTTTTCGTCTGCATTTCAGGGATTCCTTTCAAGGGGTCTTTAGGGCGACCTGCTGAGGGGCGACCTTCCACAGCCCAGCGCCTTCCCAGTGTGGCAACACCGGTGGGACCTATCTAATTTGAATGCTGACTTCTGGCCACCCAGCCATGGACTAAGAAACGTGTGACGGGGCACTTTTGTCCCTCTGAAGTGGCACAGACGTGCCACCCAGGGCCGGGGATGAGGGATTTGCAGGTCAACATACCTGCAGGCCATCTGGGCGGGGGAGGCGGTGCCTGTGCTCCCGTTCTTCAGGTGTCCTCTTTCCTCTCCTGAGTCACTGGAAAGGAAGTCCCCAGTTGGGGGCCGGGTGCAGCTTGTCCCTGGCACAAGCACCGAAGGCGCTGCACTGTGTGGAGTTCCTGCTCTGGCACAGACGCATGCGCAATGCTTCATCCACTGCAGGTGCCGAGGCTCATTCCAAACTGCTTCTAATTTTATTATCTGACAACTATGTTTTTCCAGTATATCTTTAACCAGGAGAACAAACACTCTCTTTGCTCTTGGAACGGTTGCAGGAGCACGACATGCAGCCGGTGTGGGAGGATTTGCAGGCGTGCGTGTTGTGGGCACGATCGGGCATGGATGCTCGGGAGGGGGGGCCAACGGGGCATTGCAGGACCACGAGGGGGTGTGGAGGTTGCAGGGTTGGAGTGCCCCCTTTCACCAGCCATGGACTTGTTTGCAGGCTGCAGGAGGTGAACTCGATGATCAGCAAGAGGCTAAAGGATGCCCTCTTCACAGACCAGTGGAGCGAGCTGTTCATGGAGGTGCTGAGCCCGTTTAATTTTGTCCTGGTAAGTGCCGGACAAGCATCCAGAGGAAAGCTGTGGCTGGACAGGATGGAATAATGGTCCCAAACGTTGGTTGAAAAACACCCCTTCCTCCAAAATTGCCACGAGAACACATCCAGCCCAAGCAGAGTAGTTGCTCATTCTGTGATCTTGCTGATCGTCCTCAACGGGCCCACAGTTTTGCCCTTCCAAGTGGCCCCTGAAGTCTCTCTGCTCCCCATCCCCACGCAGGCCAGGACGGCAGCAGCCTTGGTCAGAGCAGGGCCCCCTAAATGGGCTCCCTGGACATCTGGAGTCCTTACATCCCACGGAAGTCCTCAGAAACCTGCCCCTCACCAGAGGTGAGCATCCCAGCTGTCCCTGCGGAGACGACACCGAGAGGAGGCGAGTGCCAGGGAGTTGGAGGCTGCTGCGTGGCGGGCGGACGGGAGTGCCGCCGCTCGTCCCGAGGCCGTGGATGTGTCCCGGCATCCGACGTGATGGTCCCCTTGTGGGACGGCATCTCCGCGATCGGGTGTCCCTTGCCCAGTCCTCACCCCGCTCCCCACACCAACTTTGGGGGCTCGTTTCTGAAAGAAGCAGAGCATCTGGGAGATGCCTCCCCGTCTGCGGCGGTTTCCTGTGCTTTCCCCTTTCCCCTTTAGGGTTTGGTACCTTGCCACCCTTGCAGCCCCGCACGGCTGAAACACCCACCATTAGCGCACTGGACCCGCGAAGGCCAGCCGGTGGCTCGAGCGCAGAGCGTGCGCACCCGCCGCTGGGCAATGGCAGCACTTTCCCGCCTGTCGCCCCGGCAGGGGTCTCACTGCCTTTCCCCGTTGCAGGTGAGCACGGTGCGGATGCAGGGAGTCATCCTGATGGTCTTTGCCAAGTACTACCACCTGCCCTTCCTGCAGGACATCCAGACGGATTGCACCCGGACGGGCCTGGGGGGATACTGGGTGAGTGTGCCTTCGGTTGTGGCGGAGCAAAGGCGAGGCAGCGGCTGCCGACTAACCCAGCCATGGCTGATAGGATAGGTGTGGGGCCCACCCGGCCTTCCTGGGCCTCCTGCCTGCCCTCTCCTCCCTACGGCCCCAGCGACCTCCGTTACTTCAGCGCAGCAGGTGGGGACGTCAGGGGCCCTCTGGGCTGTGTAGCCAGGGACCCACGGCTGGCAGCCCAGCCCTGGAGGAGGGCAGTGCTCGGCCCCTGGTCTCCTTAGGTAACTCTTGAAGCTCCGGGAGCCAGGCGGGGCGCACCGGCTTTCCCACAAAGGCCCATGAGAAGCAGGAATTGCAGCAGAGCCCCACACGGCCTGCATCTCTGTGCCTTCACTGGTTTCAGCCCCACCCCCCACCCTCAGATAGCATTTGGGGCATCCCTGCTGCTGGGGAAGGTGAGCAGCGCTCCGGCCCAGGAGGCTCCGTCAGGCGTGGCAGCGGGCGCCAGTTGGCTGGCCATGCGAGGGAGGGATCCGGCTGGGTCGCCGCCCGCGCTGAAGCGCTGGGGAGCTCTGGGCCGGGCCCTCCCTCGTGGCCCCACCTGCCCCATGGGGCCACTGCACCGGGGGTGACCTGGAGCTAGGCAGGCTGCCGTGCGGTCCTCACAAGAGCACAAGCGGTGGGATGCAAGTGGCGGTCGCAGGGCCGGTGCCGGTAAGAGCAGCCCCCCTGCCTCCCCCGCCGAGCAGCACAGGCCAACCGAGTGGCCCGCTCAGAGCCCCCACAAATGCGCTCCCTGCCTTCCTCCTGGCGCAGGGCAACAAGGGTGGGGTGAGTGTGCGCCTGTCCATCTTCGGGCACATGGTGTGCTTCCTGAACTGCCACCTGCCGGCACACATGGAGAAGGCCGAGCAGCGCCGAGAGGACTTCACCACCATCCTGCACCTGCAGCAGTTCGAGGGGCCGTCAGCTAGCGGGATCCTGGACCACGAGTGAGTGCGCGGGCCGGCGGGGCGCTCCCGGCACCGTGCATGTGCGCATGCGTGTCTGCCGCAGCCGCCGCCGCCACCATCGCCCCTCCACTGTCCCCAGCCACGCCAGTTTCCGAGGCTGCTTCCCAGTCCAAAGGACAGACACGCGCAGGCCAGCATGCAGGCGTCTGGGCTGGCGGGCGCTGAGCTGCTGCGGGGACCCTTCAGCCACCACCAGTGGGAGGCCTTGACAAGCCACGAGGCTCCAGTCCATCACCTGCTAGTGATCTGCGGTGAATGAACGAACAAGCAAGCCACAAAAATTAGGTGCATTTGCAGAAGCCGAGGACCGGTAGGGGAAACGGCAACTGTCTCAACGCAGCGACTCAGATCGGGGGAGATGTTGCACTAGCTGTATATTGCCTTTGCTTAGATCTCTCTGGCCTTAAAGCAAAGCGCCAAGCGGGGGGGGGGGGGGGGCGCCGCGGGGGGGCGGCCCCCCCCCCCCAGCCGTCTGCCCGCACTGGGTCTGCCGGCTGCGCCTGGCGAGGGCCTCTGCGTGGGCAGGCCCAAGCGCCTGCTTGCATTGCAGTGACACCTGGCCCCTCCCAAGTTGGGGCCTCTGCGGGAAGGGCTCGGCGCCTGACCCAGCGCGGCTGCGCCGGGTGGCGGCAGCGGCAGAGCAGGCTGGAAGCCGGCCAGGAGAGCTGCTGGCACTCGGCTGACCTAGATTCCCCCTTGGAATCGCGGCGCAGCTGCCGTTCCCCACACAGCCTCCCCGGTGTCTCTCACCCCGGCTGCCATTTGCTCAGCAAGGCCTCTCTCTGCGCAGTTGCGTCCCATCGTGTGTGGGACGCTCCTGCCGAAGCTGCCGTGGGGCTGCCCTGGCCAGGCTGTCTCTCTCCGTGGCACCATGCAGTTGGTGCCCTCCGCGCTCGGCTGCGCCCCTTGAGCCTTGCCCTCCCCTGCCCCCCACCCCCTCCTCAGAAAGGCCTCCAGAGGGAAGATGCCCTTGGCTCGCCAGGCCACACAGGTGGCTCCCCTGGCCTTCCAGCTGGGCAGAGGAGGAGGATGCCCATGCCCGTGCCCATGCCCACGCCACTGGCTTTTTCCTCCTCGGCCGTCTCAGTGCAGCTGCCCTCCAGCCCCAGCTGCTGTCAGTCCCGCCCCATTGTCCCAGAGGCTTCAAGCCGGAGCAGCCAGCCCAGCCCTACAGGCTCCCAGCCCAGCCCACAGGGCTCCCCAAACAGTCGTGTCCCCCGTCCCTCCTGCCACCCCCAACAGCTGATCGTGTGGTGCTTTGCGGGCTTTTGTGTGGGTTATTTTTTCTCAAGGGTGGAATGCCTCTGCGAAGGCCTGGCTTCCAGCAGGAAGGAGTTTCCTCGCACTGGCTGGGCTCTTTCTCTCTGCAGCCCTCCTGCCTCAGCCACCACTGGGCTGAGGCCCCTGAGTGCTTTCCTGAAATGGGGTTCGGCCCTGGGGCGGAAAGGCTTCTGCTCCTGCCCTCCGTGGCACAAGAGCAGCCCCACTCGTTCTGCCCAAGGGCTCGTCGGCCGTAACGCGTCCCCAGGGACCTTACTGCGAGCAGAGTGTGAAGGCAAGCAGCCGCGCGGGTGTGCGCTCGCACCAGGCACGCAGGCCACGCATGTCTGGAGAGCTGCCTGGCCATCGGAGAGACCTTCTGCTCCTCCGCCAGGGCCCCCCCCCCCCCCGCCGACCTCGATGCTGCCATTTAGCCATGGAACAGTGCCCAATTCCCTTCCTCCCACCAACTAAACTGTCAAAATCTCGCGTTCTTTTTCTCCCAAGTTACCAAGAACTGGCTAAATGTTGGCGGATTCCTATTTAAAAAAGGAACACAATTCTCACCCATCTGCACCGGCCCAGCTGCGCAGGGTCGGGTCTTCCCCACATGGAGAGGGGCATGACGTCCATGCCTGCCATGCAGGGCTTGGGGATGAGGTGACGGCAACCCCAGAGACGCCGATCCAGGGGCCACAGCCCAGACTTAAGAGCAAAGAGCTCAGAGCCCTGGGCTGGGCGGGAGGGACCTGCCTGCTTCAGCTTCCTTCACATTCCTGCCTTCCTTCGATCTCACATCTGTCCTGTCCTGCGCGTGACCTTCGGCATGTTCTCCCCAGAAGTGGCTGCCACGCAGCGCTCGCCTCTCCCGCTCGCAGCTGCAGTGCCGCAGACGCCGGGGCCCTTCTGCCCCGGGCAGGTCTGCACAGGCCCTTCTCCCCACCCGTGTCTGCCTTGTCTTCCTGCAGCCTTGTCTTCTGGTTCGGGGATCTCAACTTCCGCATCGACAGCCTGGACATCCGGTTTGTGAAGTATGCCATCGACAACAACATCCTGCACCAGCTCTGGGAGAAGGACCAGGTGAGGCCTGTCTGTGCACGCATGTGGCAGCCGGCAGCAGGCGGCCTGGGGCTGGCGTGAGTTTCTCCTCCGGATGGGAGCCTGGAGTGCGCTTGCCCATCACGGCAGCCCCTTGAGCTTGAACCAGGGGTGAACTTGTGGGGCCCGGCATTTGCTCTGCCCCACTTTGTTTTGCAAGCACAGGCAGTGGGGATGTGTCTTTTAGAAGCCTGCAAACCAGAGGAACTGCCCCTACTTTCTTGGCACCCCTCCAAAGTTTAGACTTCGCCCTGCCCGGAAAGAGAGTCCAAAGAGCCGCGCAGCTGTGTCGACCCACCGCACTTTCCCCCCGCTGTATATTATAGATGCTCTTTGCCACACGTGTGGCTGAACTGTGCATTCAGGATGAAGCCACTGTGTGTTCTGGGGCCTGCTGGGAAGATCCATCCGCCTGGCCAAGCCACTGCAAGACCTGTACCTAAGCTCGGAGCGGGAGGTGACGTCCTTGCCCGGTGGTTGACAGCGCCACCTCCCTGGTGGCCGTCCCCCGGAGATGGCGGTGAGCACCAGGGCCGCGTCCAAGGCCTTTGACGTGCTGGGAAAGGGCGAGGCCCCGGCACAGCCGCGGTGGCCCCTGCATGGCACACGCAGTCCTGGGCTGCACCCTGGGGACCCGACCAGGATCCGTGTCTTGTGCTGCGAAGGACAGAGCACACAACTGCCCGCTTTAACGGCAGAGGGAAGGGCCGGGAGCCGCCGCCCATCCTCGGAAAGTAAGGGCTAACCTGGCCGAGCCAAGTCCGTGCGGGGCGGAGAGGAGGCACGGCAGTAGCAGCACCACACGCGAAGGAAAATGGGGAGGCAGCTACCACGGTCTAGTAAGTCGATATCCAAGACCCTTGACCTCCGCCCACCTGGTTTCTCTGGCTCTGCGCAAGCTTCCTTAACCTGCCCCCCCCCCCCAATCTCTTGCTATTGCCTCCCAATGGCACCTCCTCAGACTGGGGGGGGGGTACTGGAGGGGCACTTCCGGGCTCAGTGCTTTTCAACGATGTTATTACTGACTTGCACAAAGAGCTGCTGGGAAGGCCGATCAGATTTCCAGATGACACAAAACTGGGTGGGTAGCTAATGCCCTGGAAGACAGAGACAAGGGTCAAGGTGATCTGGGTAGGTTGGAGCACTGGGCTGAAAGGACAGAATGACATTTGATAGGGACAAACGCCACATTCTGATCCTGGGAAAAAGAAACAAAATGCACCATTACAAGAAGGAAGATATTTGGCTCAATGACCCTGCAAGCAAGCAAGAAGAATGTGGGAACTGTCGATCACAGACTGAATGTGAGCCAACAATGTGGCACAGCTGCAAAAAAGAAAAAAAGGAAAAAAAGCTATATTGGTCTGCATTAATAGAAGTATCGTTTCCAATGCTTCTGAGCTATCGGTTCCCCTCTATTCAGCACTAGATAAGCTGCATCTTGAATATTGTGTCCAGTTCTGCAGAACACAGAATAATGGACTCAAGCCACAGAAAGCCAAATTCCAGCTGGACATCAGGAAGAAACCTCCTGACTGGCATGGCCGTGGAACCACTGGAGCCAGGGACCTGGGGAGGTGGTGGGCCCTCCCACAGTGGAGGCATGCAGGGTGCCATTCAACAGCCACCTGTCAGGAATGGTTTAACCTGGAGTCTTGCGCTGAACAGAGGGTTGGACTCGATGCATTCCTAACAATCAGAGGATTGGATGGTCTTTGTTTCTTGGAGTTCCCTTTGTCTACGCTCCTTACGTTTCTGGGTGATTTTCTATATTTAAGCCAAACAGAGCAATGCATGTTTGGAGAACATTTTTCTGTGGGCGACAGAGGCGCTTCCAGTGCTCCTCTGACCCTGGAAGGCAACTGTGAAACTTTGGTGCAGTTTGGAGGCGACTCATGGACTTGTGCAGGATTCAGGGACTCCAGAACATCAGCGGCACCGATTCCCACTAAGTGCCTCATAGGAATTGGAAAGTTTCCTACACCAAGCTAGGCTGGACCAGTCAGGCTGCCGTTCTCGAGACAAATAGCTGCTGTCTAGGTTATTAGAGGGTTCTTTCAGGCATTTCTACTTGGAAATGCTGGAGGTGCAGCCGGGCGGGGGGCTGGCGGGACCTCTGCTGACCAAGCCTGGGCTCTACCGCTGAGTTGCAGGCCTTCCTTGCACGCGAGGTGCTGGCCCTGCCCCATCCCTCCTGCTGTCGGTTGGCTCTCTTGCCCTGCAGACGGACGGTGTTTGTCAGGACCCTGTGAGGACAGCCACTCCCGCAGGGCTGGCAGGGCACAGCAGTGGCTCCCCCTGGTGGTCAGGAGCATGAGGTGCCGCTTCCCTGTTTCCAGAGGAGGGAAACTTGGGTGTGGGAAACTCGTTTCAGTTTTTTAAAAAATAGAATTCACCTAGTTTGCTCCTTCTGGAGCAAACACAGACTTGGATGTGATCTGAGGTCAGAGGCTGTACCTTTCCAAGCTTGCTGTATGATTTGAACGCAAAAGAAAATTGTGTTCAACAGGGTGTAACAATTTGAAAAATGTGCATAAATGTGCTTTAATCAATAGGGGAAGATTGCATAACCTTTCATTCCAAAAGCTCATAACCTGGTGCAGACTGGACTCAGCACAAACTGCAGGATGGAATCAGGAGACCTTGAGGAGTGGATTTACCCCTCCCTGTCCCAGAATCTCTGCTCGGAGTCCCCTGAGCTTTCCTGACAGTCTCCCTCCTGCCCTTTCCATGTGGCCGGAACACCTGGAGGGGTTCTGAGCATGAAGGCCTGAACCAAGAGTGGCTTCCTACGAAGTGTTGCCAAGAGAGGAGTCCTCCCTCTTCCGTGGCCTCATGCGCCCTCTGCAATCCCGCCCTTCTGCAGCTGAACATCGCCAAGAGCTCATGGCCCATCCTGAAAGGCTTCCAGGAGGGATCCCTGAACTTCCCCCCAACCTTCAAGTTCGACGTGGGAACCAACATGTATGACACCAGGTAAGGAGGGCGAGGGAGAGCGGAGAGAGAGCGTGGGGCGGAGCAGAGGGCATGAGGTGCTGGACTTGCTTCTTTGGGGAGGGGGTTCCATTGCTGGGGTCTCCCCGCCAAAGCATCCCCTTTTCTTGGATCACCACCCACTTGGTATGAATGCACACATACTTCCCCTCCCCCCATACTTTAAGTATCAACTCTTGACCAAAGTAAAGAAAGAGAGGGAGAGAATGAAAGAAAATGGCTACATAGATTTTAATCCATTTAAATGCATACTTATGAAATATATACATGTATGAAAACACAGTGGTCAAGGAACTCTCCATAAACTTCAACAAAAGTGGGCCTGACTTCCAAATGAGTGCCCATGGGCAGTGTTGGGAGTGCTGTAGGATCCGTTGCATTGCAGGAAGTGAATATTAATACAGTGGTACCTTGGGTCGCGAACAGAAATTTCATGAAAATTTTGACTTGGGTCACGAACTCCACTTTGGGTGGTGACCAAGATCGCAGCCATCTCTCCCGCCCGTGAGTGGGGAGATGGCCCCGATCGCAGTTGCGTTCGTGCAGGGAACACGTGTGTGACCACGGCTGTGCCGTGCCCGTCTTTCCTGCGGGAATGCATCCGTGATCACACACGTCTTCCCTGCACAAACGCAACTGCGATCGTGGTCGTGTCCCCACTCGGAGTGGGGGAGATGGCCACAATTGTGCTGGTTGTGTGTGTGTGTGTGTGTGTGGGGGGGGGGGAGATGGCCGAGATTGCGCCCATCTTTCCTGCAGGAGTGCGCCTATGCCAGGGTTTCTTTGAGAAGCACCACTCCAACACGGCTGTAATGAACAGTGTTGAACCTGATGAACGATAGCGTGGTCTCTCATTTCCGGAGGGTTATGCAGCACAGGAAAAAACAAGTGCCTATAGAGAGATTTCTCCGCAAAATTGACCCTGCAGCTAAGAGGCAAAGAAGAGGGGAAACCCCTGCAGGAGATCTCCCCATGGGGAGTCCTGATGGAGGGGGGCCCTCCCTCAAAACAATAACCCACCCCCAGGTGAGCCTTCTCCACTGCACTGCACGGGACTTCGTTACTTTGTTGTTGTCACTTTGTTTCACAATTTCTGATTAAAAGAATAGTTACAGAACGGATTAACCTTCTTTACATTGAACTTATGGGGAAATTTGACTTGGGTCACGACCCATTTGGGTCCCGACCAGGGTCCCGGAACAGATTCAGTTCGTGAGCCGAGGTACCGCTGCACTTTCAATGGTGCAGTACCACTCTTTTCGCTGTCGGAAGGGTGCCGAGGACCCTTTTATCCTGACCATGTATCAACTAGGAAGATGCTTAAAAGGGCGTGTTTGGACGGAGAGTGACTTCTTCTGCGAAAGGGGAAGCGCCCGGGCAAAGCCTGCGCTTGACAGAAGCGTCAGCCGTGCTGCAGCTCCGGCAAGGGCCCGGCTTAGCCAAACTTTATCAAGGAGGGGCAGTGGCAACCAGCAGCCATGGAACGGAAGGCTTTGCTGAGCAGGCACCCCGTGAGTGCCACAGGCACACCAGAGAGCCAGCTGTGGTGCAGGGGTCAGAGGGCTGCCCTGGGATTCAGGCAACTGCGGCTCCAGTCCCCGCTCAGCCATGACAATCACGGGGTGAACTTGCAGCAGTCACTGGCTCAGCCTAGCCCTCCTCACAGGCCTGTGGAGGTGGGAAGGAAGGAGACAAGAGGAGGGGACCACCCACAGAAGGCCCAGGAGCCTGACGGGGGCTCCGCGGGCGGTTCATGCCGTGGCCAGCCACCTACAGCCTATTGCCGGGGCGGGCGAGCCCGCTCGGAGGCGCAGCAGGAGCACTTGCCTTCTGATGAGGCTGCCCAGCCTGTCACTGATCGAGGCACTGCTCTGAGCTGCCCTTCCTCCTCTGAGGAGGAGGAGGCAGGCCAGCAGCTCCCGTAGGAACACTGTGGTGACCCACCCTCTCCCTGTTGCATGCTCTGAAAGCAAAGCCTTCCAGGTGCAGGAGCCGAGTGGCCGGGGGTGACGTGGGGGGAGGTGTGCCTGGGGCTGCTGCCGGGAGCATTTGGCTCTGCAGCGCAGGGGAACGCTCGTCTGGTCCCGCGTGGAAGACCCCGCTCCTGCTTTCTGTTCGCCCCACAGCGCCAAGAAGCGGAAGCCAGCATGGACAGACCGGATCCTGTGGAAGATTAAAGGCTCGGGCGCCGTGACACATCCGGGCAGGTCCAGCTGCGGCGTCCTGGCAGTAACGCAGCTTTGCTACTGCAGCCACATGGAGTACACCGTGAGCGACCACAAGCCCGTGGTCTCCATCTTCGCTGTGCAGGTGAGCCTGGAACCCACCACAAAGTGATGCCCACGGTGCTTGCCCCTCGGGGGCTGCGAGCGAAGGTGGCGGGGGGCAGCGTCATGGAGGACGGGCTTGTGGGGCGATCTCACTGCCTGCCCATTCATGGTCCCCATGTGTGGAAAGCTAGCAGCTTCAGGGAGAGTTTACCGCCTTTGTGCGTATACGGGGAGCTCTGGCTTTCCTTTCTTTTAACACATGGGCGGGTTCTGAAGCTCAAATACTTTGGCTACCTAATGAGAAGGAAGGACTCATGGGAAAAGACCCTGCTGCCGGGAATGATGGAAGGCAAACGGGGAAGGGACGGCAGAGGCTGAGGTGGCTGGAGAGGGTCACTGAAGAGGTGGGAGTGGGCTTGGGTGGACTCCAGGGGATGGCAAAAGACAGGAGAACCTGGAGCAATGTTGTCCATGGGGTTGCAGAGAGTTGTGCACAACTTTGCAATTGAACAACAACATGGGAGGATTCAGGCCTGAAGGCCCCCACCTGCACCTGAAGGTGGTTCAGTCTTGGGCAGGATGTACCACACGGTTCTCTTAAAGCGAGGCAAGAGCAAGGGCCTGGACTCCTCTAGGGAAGATGCGCAACCCTTGCGCTGGGCCGTGGTTCACACAGAGGTTTCTAGAATCGCGCCCTCTGAGCTGCTTCCCAGACTATGCCTGCCTATGACAGAGGCAAGAATGATCACCCGTCCCAGGCAGAGCAGGCGAGAAGCCTCTGGCAGCTCAGCCCCGTGGGATCTTTCCGGACAAGAGGGTGCATGCGCCGGCCGATTTCTGTGGGAGAGGTTAGAGCAGTTGGCCACCTCTGTGGAGACCAGGAACTGTGTCGGCCTGGGAGCAGAGGCCAAGCTGGGGCAGCGCAGGGTGTGGCGTGGCAACCTTTGCTGCCCGTACCTGCCCTTTCCATGCCCAGGGAAGGGGTGGAGAGACCTAGCCGCGGGGGGGGGGGGGGAGCAGAGCACGTACCACTGCGCCCTCACCCCACAGCCATTCCCTTCCAGTCGGACTCACTTCCAGGACCGGGGGAGGGTGGTGGGGTGGTCGATTCTGGGGAGGGTGCTGATGCCACCCGTATGTCAGACTGCAGGCACAGTTCGAACCTGCGGGCATTAGCACACCCGGGCTGCCCTAGCTTGGCCCCTGGCAGGAAATTCCTCCGTGCAGCAGTTCAGGTGGCCTGGAGGTAGCAGGGCTGGGCCAGATGACGGGCTGCGTCCTTCTGCCTCTCCCCTGCCCGGCAGTTTGCTTCCAGGGCTGAAGTGCCTCTGGTGGAACTCCAAGTGGCTGACGAGTGGACGAAAACGGAGCAAGCTGTCGTCAGGTACAAGATCTCTTCGGCTTATCACCGCAGCTCCTGGGACTGGATTGCCCTTTACCGGGTGAGAAGGGCAAGTTCCGGGGGGAGCGTGGGGCGGTGACCACAAGGGAGCATCTGGAAAGTGTGCCGAGGCTCCCAGACGGGCTGCGGCAACAAGCGGCACGCACAGGGCTTCCCGGGGGAGGGGAGCGGTGAGCGGAGAGCTAGCCTGGTGCAGAAAGAACATGACATTTTGCACAGCTTATCTTTTAAACTAAACAAGAACAACTTGAAAAGGATCTCAGGTCAGCCTCAATCTTATCAGCAAAGCCTGAATTATCTGAATTCTTGCAGATAAAACAGCTAAAGAAATCCTGCGAGTGTGGCTCATGGGTAGGAGAACGGCCGGCCTGTGGCCCAAACCCACTTTTCCAGGGTTCCCTAGAGAGCCACATCCCTTTCCCCAACCCCTGATCATCTGGGGGTCTCTCGACTCTTGCACATTTCCCCCTCCTTTCCCCTCTTTCAGCGTGCTAACAGCTAAGCACTTTACCACCTGCTTGCCAAAATCTCCCGGGAATTCTGCTTCCACCCGCTAACCTCCATTGCACTGGCAGTTGCTGCTGCTCCTGACACTCTGCCGCCCGTTCGCTTTGCTCTGCGTTGACATGCAGCCAAGTGGGCAGACGGGCGCTGGGCAGCTGCCACAGGCATTGGCCCAGTCTGGGTGTGGAGCAGAGGCTGGTGGGCTCCACTCCAAACGCTTGTGCATGTGGGAACCCGAGATGCACCTGACCCCTTCCTGCCGGCGGGAATACTTTGTTAGAGACCCCAGTGTTGGTGAAGACGGAGATGAAGGGTGAGAAGCCGGCATTCAAGCCAGCAAGGGAAAGCAGCAGCGCATCCTCGAAAGTGCCCAGTGGGCAAGGCAAAGCTTTCTGGCATTTGCCAGGGGCAAATGCCCTCCATATATGTTGGTCTATAGTTCTCATAATCCTGAACTGGCAATAGCTATAGAAGGGGAAGAGAATGATTGAAGATCTCACTGTGAAAGGGGGGCACATCTCTCAAACCCCCTTTCATAACAAGAGTGCGATTGTTTGGTGCAGCTATGGGGACTGGGGGGGTTACTTCCTATTCTTGGGAAGAGGCTCAGCTTTTCCAATCCCCCCACTTTATTCCACACCGAGAAGCTACTTTCGTGCTTCTCCCCAACCCTCTAGAGGCCTGGGGAAATGGGGAAGCGAGTTCCCTTTTTTCAAGGGGTCCACATGCACAGATGGCTGTTAGAGTTGACTGTTAAGCCCCTTGGAAATGGCGTTTTGAGCCTTGTGGGTTTAGACTGGGACATGCTCAGGGATATGTCCAGCACAAATCCACTGGAATCCTGCTCAACGGGCCGGGATGTGGCGCATCGTGTTACAGCGGCCCGGTCAGGTCGGACAGCGTCGTTGTCCCTGTATTGCCGACGGCTGGGTTCAGGAGAATCACTTCCTAAGGCCAGCACATGAGATCACGGCAGGGACGTGAGCAGTCCGGGGGCTTCCAGACCAGTTTCTGCTTTGCTGTGCCAGCACTCTGAATGAGCCGTATTAATAAACCTGCTGGCTGCTTTCCAAAATGGGATCATTCTGGAGTGCCTCTGGAGCAAGCAGTCTGCATTATCTTGATTGAAAGGGCTTAAAGGACCCAGCGAGCAGCAAGCGGGTCCGGGAGCAACAGGGAGGAAGGTTGGTGCGGCTCGCACTGCCCCGGAGCGGCAGGAAGCACCCGATGTTGCTTGGTTAGGCCACGGCGCCACCCGACGTTGCTTGTCGACGGGCAGCCGCGGCTCTCCAGGTTTCAGGCAGGAGACGTGCTCCTGGGGGCCGAGCCCGGGAGCTGCTTTGTGCAGAGGGGGCTCTGCCGATGCGCTGCAGCCGCGCAGCAAAGGGGACTCGCTCTCAGCCACTGGCCGGCCGAGCAACAGGCCAAGCTGCCCATCCTTGGGGAGAACCTTGGGGCGCTGCCAAATGGATGTCAGAAGGCCGCGTGCAGCCACCCCCATTTCTCCTCTGCGGCAGACTGTGTCTCTGGCACAGAAGGGCAGAAGAAGCAGTGCAGAAGCACCGGGGGGGGGGGGGGGGGAGGATGGCAGGGGGACAACCGTGCTGCCTGACCACAGCATGAACGAGGCAGGGCAGTGCCACAAGCAACCACACAAGAACAGAGGCAGCCGCCTTCTCCAGGCTCAGGTCCTTCTTGCTCAGGGCTGTCGGTCTTGCCCGGGGCGAGCCCTGTGGGTTCCCTCCCAGCCCCAGCTGGAGATGCCGGCTTTGAGCCTGGGGCCTTTGCCAGGCCAAGCGGGGCCTCTGCCCCTGAGTGACGCTGGAGCAGGGCGGGCTCGTCTGCACTGACGGGAGATCCTGGGCCAGCGCCTCTGGCTCAGTGGGCTGGGCTCAGGTACCGGATGAGTGTTTGTTGCATTTGAAGACCTGCAGCCCGGCCCCTGCTAAGAGTGGCAGCCCAGAGGAGGAGGGGGAGCCTGCCCTGAGGGTGTGGAAGGAGAGGGAAGCAGCCCCGTAGGAGGTGGCCCTCCCTGATGCTCCTCTCCCGCTCAGGTGGGCTTCCGGCATTGTAAGGACTACGTCGCCTACATGTGGGCAAAGCAGGAAGACACCGAAAGCAACATCTACCAGGTACGGGGATGCGAGACGTCCTCCCAGGCCAACAAGCGCACGGCCGGCATGTCATGCGTGGAGCCAGCTGGAACCGGGGTCAGACCAGATGGCCTGGGAGACCCCTTCCGACTTCCTCCGCTTCTCAGCAAGGCCTCCATTCTGCCAGCACAGAAATGTGCAGGCACCGGGGGTACCTGCTCCCCCAATTCCAAGCCTGAAGGGACCCCCCAGCCTCAGCAGCCCACCTTGCTGCTCTGCCCTCGGCTTGCCTTGCCCTGCATTGCCCTGTTATGAGGACACGTGCCCCACATTTGATCATTACCGGAGAGGCCAGGCCACGTCTGGGACTCTTCTAGCCCTCGGGGCATCTCTCCGTCGGATGCTGGTACTTTGTTCTTTCATTTGAAAGCAAAGCTGCTCATGGTGCTTGCTAAAAACACCAGTTCCCTTGAAAGCCAGGCAGTTTGAAAATCAGAATGATGGAAGGAGCAGCACTTAAGAAGGAAGCAGGTTCATGCGGTGGGCTCCCTGCTCTCGCCTCGTAAGGATGGCCGGCCCAAGGTTAGCCAGTGAGCCGTGCAGGGGCAGATCCGGGCTTGATCCCAGGCCTCCTCGGTGCACATGCTGCAGGTGTGTGGCCACAGGAAGACTGTTCCCTGGTGCGGCACTTTTGTGTCCCCAAAAGGACACTATTTATTCTTGAGTAGATGCATAGCCCGCTTTTCAGGTTTAACGGAACCTTCACCAGATGGATTGCACCCATTCAGACGACATGGCTGGCCATTCCACCAGGCTGCGGGACACCAGGCTGGGGAAGCCTCTTCCTGACCAGAAGGGCCAGTCGTGTCCCGTGCGCCAGGCTGACCTGGCGTTGCACCCAGACCCTGTTAATTTGTCTCCACTGTCTCTTCCCAAACTTTAGCTGATGTTTCCGGAGGAGTCTCTGCCCAAGGGGAAAGGCGACTACATCCTGGGCTACTACAGCAACAACTGCAACTGCATGGTGGGGGTGACGGAGCCCTTCCAGGTACGCCCCGAGGTGGCCGCCATTGCACCTCTGCGGCTCAGCAGGTGGAGGAGCTGTTCGGGGCGGCCGCTGCGTTGTCCCCCTGCACCTGCTCAGAGCCGTGCGATGTTCCGATGCGCGAGATCCCCCCTGCCCAGGCCTGGATGTTGCCCTTCCAAAGGCGGAAGTGCCTCTCCCAAGGAGGCGCTTCTGCTGGCGAGAGCGATTGCCAGAAAGGGCTGGCATGCCGTGCCTTTGGCTGTGCGTCTCTGGCTTCTGCCCACCACTGGAGGGCTCACTGCAGCTGGGTCTGGCCTGGGGGGCGAGAGAGGCTCCCTGCCCCTTGCTGGGGGGCACCAGGCCAGGGAAGGCCGCTGGGCGTGCTGGGAGAAGCCAAGGACAGGGCTCTGTGGATCAGGGCCATGCCCAGAAGCCGGAGACCTTGTGGCCTTCACCAGCGACTTGGGCGTCAGTGGGCTGACGGCTTGCGGTCATCCAGTGCGGAGCGGGGGGAATGGGCTCCAAATCCTCGTCCGCCCTGCCCCACTCACAGCCTGGCAAGCAGCTTCGGCGCGGAGCTGGGCCCCCAGAGCGGGGTTCATTTGCGGACTGCCCAGGAGGTCTCCCTGCCTCCGGGGACGTGGCCAGAGAGGCTGCTGCGGAGCGCCTGCACCTGCACCTGCACGGGAGCGGCCAGCCCACCCCCGGTTGAGACTGCGGGCCCGGGGCGCAGGTGCGAGTCCCCGCTGAGCCACGGAGCCATGGGGTGGTCTGGGGCCGGTCGCAGACACTCAGCCCAGCCTACCTCACAGGGTTGTCGTTGTGGGGATAAGCCTGAGCGCAGCAGGGGAGAACGGAGCGAGCCGCTTCGAATTCTTTAGAAGGAAAACGGTGATAAACCGCCGGTTCAGTGGAGAAGCGCGGCTGGGACGAGAGCGAGGGGCCGCGCCGCGCCGCTGCCCTCCGTTCACCCTAACCGCTCTCTCCGCTCCGCTCCGCCCCGCCCCAGATCTCGCTCCCCACCTCGGAGCGCGCCAGCAGCCCCACGGACAGCTCGAGCTCCTCCGAGGAGGACGACGACAGCACCCTGGTGCTCCTGGGCCCCAAGTCGCGCAGCCCCAGCCCCGGGAAGATGAAGCCGCAGCGCAGCCGCAGCCCGAGCCTGGCCATGTTCCAGGAGCTCATCACGCGCTCGTCCAGCCGGGACCAGGGCGCCAGCCGCAGCCCCTCGCCGAAGGGCCGCCGCGCCGCAGCCGCAGCCGGAGCCGGAGCCGGCGCCCTGCTGAAGGGCGAGATCCCCAGCATCCACTTCTCCAAGGACAGCGCCCGGCGCCGCTCCAAGTCGCGCGAGCCGGCGCCCGGCAGGGAGAGCGGCGCGGGGCCGCGCGGCCCGGCGGGCTGGTGCTTCGACGAGAGCGGCGTGGGCCGGGCCGACCCGCGCAGCCTGGGCCTGCTGCCGGCCGTGCGCCTGGAGACCCTCGACCAGGCCCTCAGCCACCGGCGCGAGAGCTCGGACCAGGGCCCGCCCTCGCGCAGGATGAGCCCCACGAGCCCCACGGCCGGGCTCAGCGCCCTCTTCGGGACCTCCCCGCAGGAGGCGGCGCCCCAGGACCCCCACGGCCCCAGCACGCACGGCCGCGACGCGGGACTCTGAGCGGGCGGGAGCCGCCGCCGCCCTGGCGCGGCGCCCCCCGCCCGCGCGCCGCCGCGAGCCCGCTGAGCCCGGCCGTGGGGCTCGTGGGGCTCATCCTGCGCGAGGGC